AAAATAACCATACTTACTAAATTATTATACAGACTTAATGTAATTCCAATCAAAATACTAGTACATTCTTGGGTCAGGGATTTAGCTCAGTGGTTCTACCACCTGCCTCGCAAGTGCATATTCTCACAGAATTAGACAAAACAATCCTAAAATTTGTTTGGAACTAGAAGAGACCTACAATAGCGAAAGCAATTCTGGGCAGCAACATGTAGGGAGCCACGGTGAGATGTGTCCCAGCCCAGGCATCTGAGGCCAATTGAGGACACAACCCTGTCACTTAGCACAGATGCATGATGGAGCTCCATTATACAATAATGAATCAGCACAGGCTTTCACGCATGTACCACATAGACTTCTAAGTTGCACAGCTATTTTGTCTTACTGTATCTCAGAAAACCTGATAATGGCCATTATAAGTGGTATGCTGTAAATTAAAGTTGAGGCCCTGCTTTGTAATGGCTGCTCCACACGTGTTCTTTTCATTGGGAAACTAGCCTGCCCAGGCTCCCCTTCAGCCTATCGGCCCTGACACAAAGACAAGGAAGGAAGCACCACAATCTCCAACTTGAAATTATACTACAAAGCTACTGTGATAAAAACAGCATGGTACTTGCCAAAAAAACCAAAACCAAATCCAAAACAAAAAAATGCCTCAAGGATCAATAGAACAGATTAGAAGATGCAGAGACAACTCCAAACACACTCAGCCATCTCATCTTTAACAAAGGAGCCAAACGCCTTCACTGGAAGAAAGAAAGCCTCTTTAATAAAAGGTGCTGGAAAAACTGGTTTTCCACATGCTAAAGATTAAAAGTAGACATTTATCTTTCACCACACACTAAACTAAAATCAAAATGGATCAAAGATCTCAATATTAAAACAGAAACACTAAATCTGCTGAAGATAAAATAGGTAGAACTCTTGAAGACATTGGTGTAAACAAAAACTATGAACATAATCTCAATCATGCAGGGAATATCACAAAGAATCAACAATTGGGATCTCATCTTATTAAGATTTTGCACAACAAAAGAAACTACCAACACAGTGAAGAGAAAACCCACAGTGTGGGAAAACATTTTTGCCTCAGACAAAGGACTGCAATCTAGGATATATAAAAAACTAAAAGCAAACAAACAAACAAACAAAAAAACAAGTTAAAACACCCAATCCAAAAATGGGTATCTGAAATGAACAGACACTTCTAAAATGAAGAGTACAAATGGCAAATAAATATGTGCAAAAATGTTCAACCTCACTGGTCATTTAAGAGATGCAAATTAAAACAATACTGAGATTCCATCTCATTCCAAAAAGAATGGCTGCTATCAAGAAATCAACCAACGACAAATTCTGATGGAGCTGTGGGGAAAAAAGAACCCTTCTCCACTGTTGGTGGAAATGTAGTTTGGTGCAACCACTGTGGAAATCAGTGTGGAGATTCCTTAAAAAGCCAAAACTAGAAGTCACATTTGACCCAGCTATTCCTCTTCTTGGTGTCTTCTCAAAAGAATTAAAAGCATCAGACCACAGTGATATATGCACACCCATGTTTATAGTGTCACAGTTTACAATAGCTAAATCTTAGAAACAGCCCAAATGCCCATCAACTGATGAGTGGATAAAGAAGTTGTATTTTATTTATACAATGGAGTAATACTGCACCACAAAGAAGAATGAGCATCAGACATTTACAGCCAAATGGATGCACCCTGAGACCATACTCTTAAGTGAAATAATTTGGACACACATGTTTAAATACTGCATTGTTTCCCTGGTGTGAGAAACCAAAAGTGGAAATAAGGACTGAAATGTCTAGTAGATATTCAGAAGTGAGATGAAAATGTTCAAACTGAAAGGGAACAAGGGACCAGGGAGGGAGAAAAGAAGGAAGGGACAAGAAAAATGTGGAAAGAAAACTTTTCTTCGTAGGGAGGAGAGTTGAGGGGAGGAGGAATGGGAAAAAAGAAATGGGATACATCATGTATAGGTGCAAATTCCCCATTTACCATTATGTATGCCTAAAATGTACCAATAAATATTTTGCTATAAAAAATGATGCTGGTGAAGGTGCACATAGACATGTAGTACTTATGGGACTATAAGGTGCATTGTTTCTGGAGGGCAATCTGATTATCATCAGGAGTGCTGAAAACAGCTGGTGCACCATGGACACCCCAATACTTGGTAGGCTGAGGCAGGAGGGTTGCAAGTTCCAGGCCAGCCAGAGATACATAATGAGACCCTGTCTCAAAAAAACTAAAACCAAACCACAAAGCTTTTAAAATAAACAGACTCCTCTAGCAAATCCACCTATCTCTAAGGATTTTTTTCTAAAATAACAGTCTGAAACTATGTATCTGGATATATTTATGTTACCTAAAACACAACAAAACATGAATTAATCTAAATATTTTACAACAGAATAATTAAGACTTACTGAAGAAGGTAAGTATTCAGCAATAATTAAAAATGCAGCTATGGTTTGAAGCCTTTGGGAAAATACACTGCTGTTGAGTGGGAAACTAAGTACAAAATAGTATGCAAGTCCTTGAAATTTGATTTTTTAGAAAAGGGCTTCACTAGAAGGCAGCAAACTATGTACAGTAATCTCCAGGCCCTTCTCCCTTCCTTCTTTCCCTTCCTTGATTCTTCCTTCTTCTTCCACAATTTTTTTTCAAATGGGTTTTTTTTTTTTTAATCACCCAGGGTGGCCTGGAACTTGTGATCCTCCTGCCTCAGCTTCCCAAATTCCAGGATTAAATGAATGCACCATCACACCTGGCTTCCTTCCTTCCTTCTTTTCTCTCTCCTTCCCTCCTGTCTTCTTTTCTCCCATTACTTTTGTATTTTCCAATTAACTCAATAAACATGTGCTGCATTTGCATCAGAAAATAGCAACTGTTTCTTAAGATGAGAATCTTAGAAGGAGGCAGGTAGGAGCCACTGCAGTAGCCAAGCAGTTGTGGTCACTGGAAACACAGAAAAGGGAAGCACCAGCCTTGGCAGTGAATATTCTGGGATGTAGCTGCCCTCTTGTTTTGTGTTTTTTTTGGTCTCAGGATCCTCCTGTCTCAACCTCCAGAGTACTGGGATTATAAGCATATGCCACCAGTCCTGGCTTTTTTTGTTTTGCCACTTACCTACAGAGGATGTCATGAATAATTTTAGAAGAAAAGTCAATAATTAGCTGGGCATGGTGGTGGACGCCTTTAATCACAGCACTCTGGGGAGGTTGAGGCAGGAAAACTACAAATTCAAGCCCAACTCGGGCAATTTAGTGAGAGTTTGTCTTAAAACAAAAACTAAAAAAGGTCTGGAGATGTAGTAGGTCAGCGTGAAAGCTCAGGGTTCAATCCCCAGTACAGGAGAAGAAAAGAAAAAGGAGGGGGGGAAGGTCAGCAGCAATCGGCCTGCTGTGAAATAAGGCTGGCAGGGGTCACCCCATGTCCCCCTCCTGCCTGGGGCTGTGGGAGCAGAGAAGGGCATGGCCTGCTGCGCGAAGGCCTTGCTGGAAGGGAAGTGGGGGGCAGCCGCCAAGGTCAGTTGTTTCTGGGAGGCACTGCTCTCTTATCCTGGGGGAAGGAAGGCCAGGGTGGTGGAACCCAGGGCGGGGTCTCAGCCTTATCTCCAAATCACCAGAGGAGGGCTGGGCCTGCTGGGACCCAGAGAAGAAGCAGGCTGGGTGAGGTGCGGGGGTGGGGGCAGAGTCCCATCCCACCTTGGACCTGAGGCAGCCCCGCCCAGGGTGAGCTGTCCTCACCTGGCTCTCGGAAAGACCCAAGGACTATGCCCTCCACAGCCATCAGCACTGATTTCATGGAGTCACTGGGTCTGCATCGCCCACTCCAGAGGCAGTGGAAGAGAGGAGATAGCTGCTTTCCCATGATGTCATGACTGACTTCATCTCTCTAAATCACAGGGATGCCTCACCTGGCCCAAACTCCAGCCCAAGGGTGAAAGCCTTTATGATTCTTTTCCTTAAAAATATGTTGAATAATCTGCAATAATACATAAGATCCTAATAAGATTACTGACATTGAGAAATGGGAAGAAAGGAGCTAAAAGTGTAGGGAAGGTGGGATGGGTAGGGGAAGGGTAATAAGGGAAAAGAAAAAAATGTGAGATAATGAAAAGATGGAAATAAAGTGTTTGTAGATGGGGAGGAGGGGGTGAAAGGAGGGCAGGGACAAAGGGAAAAATGAGAACCAAGACTCGTCATGTAGAGGTACAAGATCCCAACAATGAATGTAACTGTACTGTATCCCTAAAATGTACCAATAAACTCAATTAAAGCTAAAAAAAAAAATATGTTGTCCAGGGCTGGGGATATAGCTCAGGGGCACTGTGCCTGCCTGGCAAGTGCAAGGTCCTGAGTTCGGTTCCTGGCAATGTGGTCCAAGCTGAGCATGGTGACAGAAGTCTGTGACCCCAACACTTGGGAGGCAGAGAAAGGAGGATCACCATGAGTTTGAGCCAGCCTGGGTTATATAGCAAGACCCTGTTTCAACAAAACAAACCAGCCGACAAACAAACAAAAATATGCTATTTTTTTGGAGTGGTAGAAAACAATCTAAATTTAAAAACAAAAACCTGTCAGATGTGGTGGTGCAGGACTCTAATCCCAACATTCAGGAGCTTGAGGCAGGAGGATTGCTGCAAGTTTGAGGTCAGCCTGGGCTAAAAAGTGAGTTAAAGACCCGCCTAAACTACACAGTGAGATCCTGTCTCAGACACCAAACTAAGCAAAAGGACAAACCCAAAGATCATAAGCCTAGAGAGTAGTTGGCCACTGATGCTTACCATGATTATCATTAGAGTTTTTTTTTTTTTTTTTTTTTTTTTTTTGCTCTAGTGAGCCTTTTCCCTGATCACACATGCCAGTTTAGGTCCATCTCTGGCTGGCATGGAAACTCCTGAGCCCCACTGCTGAGAAGCTGGGAGATGCCGGGAAGGTATGGGCTCACAGACCCTACCGCCTAGTGACTGCTGAGTCTAAGGAAACCAACACCTGGGGGAGGGGAGTTGGAGACCAAGCGAACATGCCACATTCCATGTGAGGAGGGCCGGCTGAGTGGTGAGTGCTAAGTGCTTGGGATGGAGTAGAACCGTAGAACTGGAGATGGACTCTGAGCGAAGTGGTGAGCACTTTGGTTCTTCGAGCAAGGAAGTGGGCTGACCTGACGGATGCTTCATCAGGTTTCCTCACTGCTGTGTTGTGAGCCAGCAAATAGGTCCTGAGCAAAAAGTAGAATTGCTGGTGAATCAGAGAGGAACATAAACAAATCAGACGACAGTAAAGAAGTTTATGATCTGAGAAACTGGAAAGAAGAGCCATGATTTTTGTGTTCAGTGCATTAGCGAATGAATGGGCATAGCTTTTTCCCAACTATTACTGATCCGGCCCCAAGATTTCAGGGACTTTGTGTCACCACTGATATGCTTGATAAGTGAGTGCAGAAGTCATTTGCATTAAATGTGTTTTTGCCTAGTGTGGTGCCTACCACCTGCAATCCCCTTACTCCAGAGGCTGAGGCAGGAAGATTGTGAATTTGAGGCCAATCTAGGCTACATAATGAATTCAAAGCTGGCCTGGACTTAACACAGTGATACCCCATTCAAACAAACAAAAGTAAGTTTTCTTTCAGTGTCTAAATGCTTCCTTCCAGTTGAAGGGAGTGGGGAGCTGTGGGAGTCCAGGCTCCCAAACCTGGCTCCGGAACTGCCTGGGTCCCAGCCTCAGAGTCAGGGGACACTCCACACCCCTCAGGGTAAATGAGTCTCCACTACCCACACAACAAGCGCTGTGCTTCACAGAGTGTCCTTCATTCAGTCAGGCTGCAGGAAGAAACCACATTCTTGAGACTTTAACTCAGCATTGTTCACTGAAAGCCTTTTCTGGGAAATTTTGATGATTCAAAGCGGTTCCTATGCATGTGGTAACTGAAATTTAGATTGAAAGCAGCAGAGGCCCATGCTTTGCTCCCTGCTAAGAGGACACTCCTTCCTCCAAGGGGGCCGGCCCTTTCCTGGGTGCCTAAGACAAGGGAATTGTGCTCAGGGACACTTGATGGGCATTTAGCTCTCACAATCACCCCATGAGAAAGGGGCTATGGTCACCCCAGGTTGCAGATGCAACAATAATCATACAGATGAGGAAGGATGGTATAGGAATTGTCTCTCCCAGGCAGGGGGACCTTTGGAAAAACTGTCCCTGTTCACAACAAGGTAAACTCCTGCGCTGTTTCTACAAAAATCAGCTTTTTTGGGGAGAAAAGTATGGCACAGCCCGAGATATGAGGCCCTGGGAACCTTGTCCCAGGAGCTGAGGTGCAGATGTAGCGTTACAAAGACTCCTCAGAGAAAGGAAACAAGGTTTTTCAAGCTCTGACTTCACATCAGAGTCCCTCTTTTATCCTGAGATGCCTTTAAACTAGACAAAAATAGTAATCCTACCTTTATAAGCCAGGAAACTAAGGCACAGAGAGGGCAAATGATTTATCCAAGGTCACACAAGTGTCCCCAAAAAGAGATGCCAGAATCTGCCCCAGGGTCACATGATTTCACATTCCTGAAAGAACTCACTTGAGGCGCAGCCTGGGGCCACTGAACAGAAAGTCTGTGCTACACAGCCTGCCATCCTTCTGTGTGTGCTGGAATTTAAACAATAACAAACTGCTGCCAGATGTGGTGGCACAGGCCTGTAATCCCAGTTGAGGGGTTGAGGAAGGAGGATCGTCTCAAATTTGAGGACAGACTGGATGACATAGTTCAAGGACCGCCTGGACTACATAGCAAGACCCTGTCTCAAAAAACCCAACAAAACAAAACAACCCTATCCCTTTCTGTGACCCAGAAAGTAAGCACGCCATTCTGGCGGCAGATATGGGCCATTTATTTCTCTTGCTTTTATTTCATTTCTCTGCTCATGTGAGTTCCTCTATGGAGGCCAAGGGGAGAGCATAATAAGCATCTGCTTGGTATCTTGGGGAGATGTTTTTATAGGGGAAATGACTGAAGCCATTTGCTAATGTGATTTTTTTCCACAACTTGAACCAGGGCCCTTGCACTGAACTATACTCTCCACCTTTTTAAAATTTTGAGACAGGATCCTGGGATCAAACTCGTGATACCCCAGTGCTGGGATTACAGGCCTGCACCAGTACACCTGGCTCATGATTTCCTTCTTGGATTGTCCAGAGCCCACCTTAGTTCAGCTAATGAGCCACACTGAGATTCGGGAGTGACACAAGGATGGAGCCCTTCAGCAGAGGCAGCTCTGGGCAAAGCACTCACAGTTTAGGGACAGTGGGCATTTCGTTTTGGTTGTGCAAGTATTAGTAACAGCCAGCAGCAACTGGCTCAGTGAGGCTTGGTTTTCCAGGGGCAGTCACACTGGCAGGGCCAAGCTGTGTCTTCACCCCACTCACACAGACCCGGAACAGGAAGTGACTGGGCCCTGTCCCTGCTCAGCGCCAGTCAGCCTCCCATCTGCTCCTCTGAGCTCTCCGAGGTCTTCTCTGTTCTTTCAGGAGCTTTATTTAACCTTGCTCAGGTCTGTTTGCTTGTTTCCTGGTCTGTAAAACAGAAAGAATAATCGCACTGTGTGGGCGGTTGTGGCGATTAAACAAGACCCTACTCCTGAAGCTCGGAGTTCTCAGTGCCCAGTCCACGACCTTCCCACGCTTCCGCTCCTAGAAGGACGAACTGTTCAAGGTCACAGCTAGTTAACCAGAGAGAGAACCCAGCCCTAGGCGCCTTTGCACGCTTGCCCTGGTGTCCAGGGCGGTCCACCTCGCTTCTGCAGACCAGAACCTTGCTCCACCTCCCAAGCCAGTGAAAAGACTGCTTTTTTCCCCTTCTGGAAAATAGCTTGAGCTTGGCTTCTATTTATTTTAGTTTTTATTTTTTTGCTACTGGGGATCAAACCCAGAACTTTTGCACTGAGCTAAATCCTCACCATCTCTTTCTTTTTGAAACGGTCTCCCTAAATCTCGAAGTTGCCCTGGCTGGGCTCAAATGGGGCACCCTCCCGCTTCAGCATCCACAGTGCTGAGATTACAGGCAAACACCACCACACCAGGAGGATCAAGAGTTCTAGACTTCGAGACCAGGGGAGGGAGACAGACGATACTGCTATGTAGGAGTAAAGGTTAAAGATGGCTCTGGACACTGTACAGCCCCGGAGAAGATGCAGTCAGCCTTACTGTTGTTTGCATTCCAGCGCAGCTACCGCCAGCCGCTCCGCTCCCGGGCTTTGGGCGCAGGGACCCAGGCGAGCGCGTCGGGCCGGCCGGGCAGG